AAAGAATTAAGATTATTAAATCTAACTATGGTGGTGAATACTACGGTACATATGATGAATCAAGTAAATAACGTGCAGGATCATTTGCTAAAGTTTTAGCAAAATATGGTATCATCCTACAGTATACCATGTTAGGTTCTCCTATAGTAAATGATGTTACTAAAAGACGAACCAAAATACTTAAGGATATGATGAGGAGTATGATTAGTCATTCTACCTTGTCTGAAGCTCTCTATGAAGAAACATTAAAGACTGTAATATATTTAATCAATGAAGTTCCAACTAAATCAACTACAAAAACCTTTTATGAGCTTTGGACAAACAAAAAGGTAAATTTGAGACATTTGCACATTTGAAGATGTCCAGATGAGACTAAACCTTATAGGCCACATGAAAAGAAAGTAAATTCCATAATTATTAGTTGTTATTTTGTTGACTCTTCTAAAAGATACAAGGGTTATAAATTTTGTGATCTCACTATTAAGATAATATTTTAGATGAAAAATGTTCAATTCTTTGAGGATGTTAACTTTACATGGAGAAAGAGAATTCGAGACCTTGTCTTTGAAGAGAAATATATTAATATTCTTTTAATTGCTTTTGACATTGATCAGGATCAGGTTCTCGTGCCTTGCATTGTTCAAGAAGAAAATACAAATCAAGACAATGTCACAGTACTTCCCGTTCATACTCAAGAAGTTGTTCTAAAAGAAGAAACTTCACAACATCAAGAACTAATGTCATTAAGAAGATTCACTAGAGAAAGGAGAAGTGCAATTTTAAATGATTATATTATATTTTTCCAAGAACATGAGGATGACATTGGAATGGTGGAAGATGATCCAATCAACTCCCGTCAAGCCATAGAAAGTTTTAACTCTCAAAAGTAAATTAATATTATGAATGAAGAGATTAAGTTTATAAAGAACAATAATATTTGGGATTTTGTCTCATTGCCTGAAGGTGTGAAACCTATTGGTTGCAAATAGATTTTTAAAACCAATAGGGATTTAAAGAGCAATGTGGAAAGGTATGAAGCACATCTTATTACTAAGGACTTTATACAGAAAAAGA